AGAGGAAGGTTTTGCACCACCGCAAGCGTCCCGTCGCTAGTTGAGACTTCCAGGCAGGTGGGGCTATTCTTTAGGGGCGTCTTATACACCTCTCGTCCATGCGAAGTTACCTAATGATAGAAATGCAATTAATTGCCGGGAATAAACAAATTGTCATCATGTCAGATGAGGATAAGGCTATCATCACTTTGGTCAGACTAACCAGATGTAATGGTGTCACCTTGAGTTGCACTGCATCTTCCTCTAAGAATATCTGGAAGTGGATACTGTGTGGGGTGGTCGGTAGGGGTTCCTTGTGCCCGCTTGTCACCAAGGCGTTTCCTCGCCGTCCCATCTCCAGTTCGGCTCCTTTTACACTGAAGGAAGGCTTGAAGGGAACCCGAGAGAACAGCGTTAGGTTTTCTCGAGCATCGTCCTTGCGCAAAGGAATGTTGACAGCCTTGCCATTCTTCACCAGCCATGTGGGTGTATTCGAAGTGCACTCTTGCGTAAACGTCCCGTTCTTGATGTCAACACTTTGCACAGTGCAGTCGAGATTCAGGCCTTCTGGCAACCACGATTTGTCATTCCCATGTAAGGTTATAGTGTTCTTCAAACCAAGTCTGAATCTCGTCCAGCCGTCAATCTTTTCACATTCATGAAAAGTCCGAGAAGTGTTCTTGTGCCAGCCCAATTTCTTCCATGTGATGCAGTCATTGCTTAGGCTGAGTAGGTAGCCGGTATCAGAGTCCTGACAAGTCAGTAAAATTTCACTCATGGAATTTTCTCGAATGAAGCTTAAGAATTCCAGGGAGTCATACACAACTTCTTCATAGATCTTATCTTCCACCAGACAGTCTGTAAAACAACGGCATTCGAGGTTAGTACAAATGTAAAACTACACGGAAAAATGCAAACGAACAATGCAGTTTTCAGAGGATCAAAGACAAGTTCCTCGAGGTCCGCTATCACGGTAGTAAGAGACACTGTGTTATTATATCATAACAAATCATAAAAATGCAATATATTTACGGCTGCCTTCAGCCACTATTTACAATATTCACATCATAAATACGGCAACTGACCTCTCTAGTTGAAACGACGCGACAGAGGGGAGCGAAAAGGGGATAAGGACAAACCATGCCAAAAGCTCCATTCTCGCAAAGGCACGACAAAGCAAACCAGCGAGTTGATCAAGGACTCCTCTCTGGCAAGAAAACTGCGCCCTGGAGACTGATTTCGCCCGTTATACAGAAACGACTGCGAATAGAGAGCGCGGGATCTACAAAGAGATAGAGAGACCAATAGTGGGCCTATGCTGTATCTTTTGGAGGATCATGGTTCTCGCCACCAATGAGAATGGCGCTCGACTTTTCACCAGCTAGTCAAATCTTTGGAATGTGAATATGCGCTGAGACACATCTTGAATGATATACATATATATACTATATATATATAATATATATATATATATATATATATATATATATATATATATATATATATATATATCATCATTTACATATAAACATATGTATACAAATATATATATCACGCATTTATGTATACATATCTATATATCTATATATATGTAAATATGTATATATGTACACACACACACACACACACACACACACACCACACACATATATATATATAATATATATATATATATTATATATGTATATATATACATATCCATATACATACACGCACACACACATACATATATATATATATATATATATATATATATATATATAATATATATATATATAATATATA